GAAGAGTGTAAAGAGAAACTAAAAGACCAGTTGGTGACTAATTTAAAAACGAAAGATGCTACTTCTTTTTATCACATTTGGGATTCGGGAGCCCGAGCTAGTGATGAGAGCCTTACCCAAATTTTTGGCATGCGTGGTAATACTACCAATTATTTAGGAGAAGTTATCGAGACACCAATTACCTCTTCATTATGAGAGGGGTTGTCGCCTTTCGAGTTCTTTATTTCGGTTTATGGTGCGGTCAAAGGAATGATTGACATTGCTTTGAAAACAGCCGAAGCAGGTTATTTAACTCGACGCTTGGTAGAATCTACCCAAAATCTGGCCATTATTTCCTCCGATTGTGGAACAAGTACTAGTGTACTCTTTGTGGAGAATGATTTGCCACTTATCAAAAGAGTTTATGGTCGCTATTTAGCTCAAGATATTTCCGGTAAAAAAGGGGAGATTATTTTAACTCACAATACTCTTTTGTTAGAAAAAGAAATAAAGATTATTCAAGAAAATAAAATTACGGAGATTTGGGCTTTTTCTCCACTGAATTGCCAACTAGTGGAAGGCATTTGCCAGAAATGTTATGGCTTAGATTTAAGTAAACCTGGTGAGACAGTGGCAATGGGGACAGCGGTCGGAGTAATTGCTGCCCAATCGTTAGGAGAACCAGGAACACAATTGACCATGAGAACTTTCCATAGGGGGGGAATAACCGGCGACGAAGATATTACCCAAGGTCTACCAAAAGTCAAACAAATATTTGATAATGTTAAGCCGAATAAAGAAGAAAAATCTATTTTGGCCAAGGCTAATGGAAAAATAATAAGCATTGAAGAAAAAATAATCAAACAAAAAAGCGACGAGGGCAAAGAAATTATTTATCCCCTTGGCAAGAAAAAGAAGGTTAGGATTAACCTGGGAGATATGGTAAAAAAAGGCGAAAAACTTACTGGTGGGAAGATAGATTTAGAAGAATATTTAGAAATTGTGGGACGAGATAAATGTCAAGAATATATCAAAGAAGAAGTAAGGAAGGTATATGATGATCAAGGAATAGATATTAACGAAAAGCATATTGAAATATTTGCTCGCCAAATGCTTTCCAAAACGGAAATAATAGACAGTGGAGGCAGCGATTATTTAACCAGCGAGATAGTAAATTATCAGCAATTAGTCAAAGTTAACAAGTCGTTAATAGACAACAAAAACCCCCCAATTTCCTTTAAAACTATTGTTTCTAGTCTGAAAGATTTAGCGTCTTATCCAGATTCTTTCTTGGCTGGTATTTCTTTCCAAAATACTTTAAAAAGTTTGGTTAATTACTCTTTGTATCAACCAGTCGATTATTTGCGGGGATGTAAAGAAAATTTAATTGCTGGGCAGTTGGTACCAGTCGGATCAGGATTTAAAGAGCGAGAAAGGTTTCAACGAAAAACTACTCGAAAGGAATAATATTTTTGTTTCCCTTATGGGTTAAAAAACACTAAAGTAATTCATTATGCCAACTTGTAAAGCAAATTCCTGCTACACTAGCACTAGATATTCCTGCGATAATTATTGCTCTTATCATGAAAAATGTTTGAATAAAGTAAAAAAGTAATAGATTTTTTGATAATTTAATAAGTTCTTATGATTCAAATGTAAGAAATAAGATTTTAGAAATAGAAAATCGGATTGAAATTCCACTCAAGCATGATTGTCGGATAATGTAAAAAATATTATGAAGAGAGGAACTAAAGTAGCAATTTTGAGAATAATTTATTATTTGATAATTTTTTCTATTCTTGGCTGATTTCTTTTTTGATTATTATTTATTCAAAGTTCTACTTTCCTATGAAATATTTTGGCGAAATGATTTTTTACATTTTGAATTTCTGGTCCTTGTCTGATAATGGTTATAGCGGGTTTTTTTCATTTAACAGAATACATATTTAAACGCCTAACAGAACCTTCTCCTAATAAATTACTAACAACTTTCAAAAAAAGAGAGGAATACATAAATGAGAAATACCCTGCTAGAAGCTGAATTTTAGCACTTTCTATTTTCGCATTAATTATTTTGCTTTTAATTTCTACTATTAATATTTGCTAATGATATTTTAATTTTTTTTATTACTGACTTATTTTTCAAAAAAAAAAAAAAAAGTTAAACCTCAGCACTTTCCTCCCAAAGCATATTGAATAACGTAGATTAATTACAAAAAGTTTTCAAAGGAAATTTTTTGCTTAAATAATAAGCTTCATCTTTCCCACTTTTTATTATTTTTCTATCTTTATAGTTTCGCAAAGCTAAATCAATTGTTTTCGCAATTTGCAAAAATTCCTTTTTTTCTAATCCGCGGGTCGTCAAAGCCGGTGAACCTAAGCGAATGCCGCTACTAATTCAAGGTTTTTCGGTATCATAAGGTATCATTTGTTTATTACAAACAATTCCTACCCTCTCTAATATTTCAGCAGCTTCCTTTCCAGTTAAACTGTAACTAATTTTAGTATCAATAACTAATAAATGGGTTTCGGTACTGTTACTAATTACTTTTACTCCCTTTTCCAAAAAATAGATAAAGCAGTTTTTCCTGGCAACCAGGGCGGATCTAACCCTGCGATTATTGCCGCCAAGGCTCAATGTTTTTACGAGGCTTTACAACCGAACTTCAAAAACTATCAAAAAAAAGTACTAGAAAATGCCAAAGTTATGGTTGACTATTTTTTGGAAAAGGGAGTAAAAGTAATTAGTAACAGTACCGAAACCCATTTATTAGTTATTGA